AAGAGGTCCCGGGGCCCTCCCTGCAGCCCAGTGCAGGTCACCGTGGAGGTTTTAGTGGGTAGAAATCCCACACTACCTCCTGCCCCTCCCCAGGGGGGCGGGAGGTGTCTTCGGAAGATTTCCTCCACGTATAAAAAAAAAAAAAAAAAAAGGTTAGGTTAGGTTAGGTTAGGTTAGGTTAGGTTAGGTTAGGTTAGGTTAGGTTAGGTTAGGGTTAGGTTAGGTTAGGTTAGGTTAGGTTAGGTTAGGGTTAGGTTAGGTGGCGGGACCCGCCGCCCTAAGGGATCCGGGGGGGTTGACGGCGCCGATCGCCGTTGCCCCCCCGGCGCGACGGATGCGGGTAGGGGACTGGTGAAGGGGGGGGTGGGAGGGGTCGTGGTGACCCTCCCGCCCTGGACGAAAAGAGCCCGGACCCCGGTCGGACCTGGGGGCGGGCGGGGAGGGAACCCGTTACCAATCGGGGGCCCTCTCCGCCTGTCTCTGGGGGGCCGGGTGACTCCGGGCGGAGAGTGGGGTGTCCCTCCCACAAAGGGAGTTGCCGCCCTCCCACACTGTGGGGGAGGGACGAAGTGAAGCCGAGGAGTCCCTCTGTAGGGTGGCTGACCACAGCCCACCGCAGCCCTCAGGGGGACGACTCGGCGGGCCGCAGGCGCCCCGCTGGGGCGTAATTGCACGCGGACCCGTGGTGAAGCCGGCACCGGAAGCTGGCGAGGCGCGGTCAGCGCCCGGTCTACCGCGCGGGGTGGGCGGGGGGTCGTTCCTCTTCGCAGTCCGCGTAGGGAGATCGAGGCGCGGGGACTGCAGGTGTCCTGGGCTGGGGGCCCAGGCGTCATTGCACGCAGTCCCCCGAGATGGAGCCGACATCGGGTGCGACCCCCGGTGTCGGCAGAGGGGGGTCCTTTCGACTCCCCTCCGAGACGGGCGCTTCGGCGCGAGGCGGGGGAGGCTCCGGAGAAATATCACTCAGGTCCCGGAGCCTCTCCACAACGCCCGAGGAGGTCGCCGTGGGGTTTTAGCCGGTAGAAATCCGGCACTACCCCGTCACCTCCCCCCAGGGGGGGCGGGGCGTCTTGTCGAAGATTTCCCCACGATAAAAAAAAAAAAAAAAAAAAAAAAGGGTTAGGTTAGGTCCCCCGGAGGGCGGTGTACTGGTGGTCGGGCGACATTGAGGACATTCGGTCCGAATGTCAGCACGCCCGGCGCCAGTGGCAGCGCGCCCGAAGGGTACGGGTCCGCGACCCGGCGAGGGAGGAATTGCTGAGGGGCACGTACCGGGTCTTCGTAGCGGCCCTGAGGCAGGCCATCAGGGACGCGAAGTCCCGGGCACGGAAGGAGCTCCAGGGCTCTCTCGACAAGGATCCCTGGGGGCGTCCGTACCGCATGGTGATGGGCAAGCTTCGCCCATGGGCGCCCCCGGTGTCGGAGAGCCTGGACCCCCAATTGCTCGGGCGGGTGGTGGACACCCTCTTTCCCCGATCGGAGGAGGAGCCACGCCCGCGCGAGCAGCCGGCGGAGCCAGTCGCCTGGTCCGCCGACTTGGAGGTCACCGAGGGGGAACTCGCCGGGGCCATCAAGAAGCTCGGGGCGAAAAACACCGCTCCGGGCCCTGATGGTATACCCGGCCGTGCCTGGGTCATCGCGTCGGGGGTCCTGGGTCCGAGGTTGATCCGCCTCTTTAGCGCCGCGTTGGAACGGGGAGTTTTTCCCGCGTTGTGGAAGGAGGGGCGGCTGGTTCTGCTTCGCAAAGAAGGTCGGCCCGCGGACTCCCCCTCCGCGTACCGGCCCATCGTGCTGTTGGACGAGGTGGGCAAGCTCTTCGAGCATATTATTGCCGAACGCCTCGCCCACCACCTGTCGAGCGTGGGTCCCGATCTGGCCGACACCCAGTTCGGGTTTCGCGAGGGTCGCAGCACCATCGACGCCATTCAGCGGGTGCGCACCCTCGCGGAGTGGGCCACGTCCCGGGGCGGGGTGGCGCTTGGCGTCTCGTTGGATGTGACCAATGCGTTCAACACCCTGCCCCATGGGGCGATACGGGGGGCGTTGGTTCGTCACAACGTCCCCCCGTATCTGCGGGGGATAATCGGGGCCTTCCTGGATGGCAGGTGGATTTGCTACGTGGGCCGGGACGGTACAGTGCATTGGAGGGAAGTGGACCGCGGGGTGCCCCAGGGTTCCAAAATGGGTCCTCCCCTATGGAACCTGGGATACAACCCGACCCAGGAGGTGGATCTCCCGCCCGGGGTGTGGTCAACTATCTTCGCAGATGATTATTTCATTCTGGCCACCGGGCGGGACTGGGAGCGGACCAGCCGCCGTGCCGAGGATGCGGTGGCACGCGTCCATGACGCGATCCGGGAGTTGGGTCTGGAGCTGGCTCCCCACAAGACCGAGGCTATGTGGTTCTTCGAGCCTCGACGTGGGGTAGCCCCTCCGACCGGGCTCTGGCTCGGGGTAGGAGGGTGCCGGATCGAGATCGGCCGAGGTCTCCGATACCTCGGTCTGTATCTCGATAGCCACTGGCGGTTCGATACGCACTTCGACCGTCTGGCTCCCCGATTGGATAGGGTGGCGGCCGCTCTTGGCCGCCTTTTACCCAACCTCGGGGGGCCGGGTGTGAGGGTTCGCCGCCTCTACGCGGGAATCGTCCGGTCCGTAGCCCTGTACGGGGCACCGATATGGGCCGGCGATCTGGCGGCGAGCAGGCGCAGCTGCAATGTTTTGCAGCAGGTGGAGCGCCGGCTCGCCGTCAGGGTCGTGCGGGGATACCGCACGATTTCCTACGCGGCGGCGATGGTCCTGGCGGGTTTCGTACCTTTCCGGTACCTGGCGGGGGTCGAGGCCAGTACCTACTGGTACTCGAGAGCCCTCCGTCAGGCCGGGGAGGACCCGGCGGGGCCTACGGTCGAGGAGTATCGGGGCCGGGCCCGACTGGTCGCGGTGGAAAGGTGGCGCATCTCCCTTCAGGGGGTGGCCGCCGGAAACCGCACCGTCGGGGCGGTCCTGCCGGTGCTGTCAGAGTGGCGGGATCGCGGCTTTGGCGCCCTGACATTCCGGGCCACACAGGTGCTCTCCGGACATGGGTGTTTCGGGGAGTACCTGTGCCGGATCGGGAGGGAGCCAACACCGAAGTGTTGGCACTGCGGGGCGGGGCGGGACACCGCACAGCACACCCTCGAGGTGTGCCCTGTGTTTGAGTTGGCCCGCCACGCCCTGCGTGTGGAGGTGGGGCAAGACCTCTCGCCGGCGAGCGTCGTAAGACAGATGCTCGCCGGCGAGACGAGGTGGAGGGCGGTGATCTCCTATTGCGAGGAGGTCATCGCCCTGAAGGAGAGGGCCGAGCGGGATCGCGAAAGGAGCGATCCCGCTCGGAGAAGAGGCCGGCGCCAACCGCGGCGCCGGCGGGACCCGCCGCCCTAAGGGATCCGGGGGGGTTGACGGCGCCGATCGCCGTTGCCCCCCCGGCGCGACGGATGCGGGTAGGGGACTGGTGAAGGGGGGGGTGGGAGGGGTCGTGGTGACCCTCCCGCCCTGGACGAAACGAGCCCGGACCCCGGTCGGACCTGGGGGCGGGCGGGGAGGGAACCCGTTACCAATCGGGGGCCCTCTCCGCCTGTCTCTGGGGGGCCGGGTGACTCCGGGCGGAGAGTGGGGTGTCCCTCCCACAAAGGGAGTTGCCGCCCTCCCACACTGTGGGGGAGGGACGAAGTGAAGCCGAGGAGTCCCTCTGTAGGGTGGCTGACCACAGCCCACCGCAGCCCTCAGGGGGACGACTCGGCGGGCCGCAGGCGCCCCGCTGGGGCGTCATTGCACGCGGACCCGTGGTGAAGCCGGCACCGGAAGCTGGCGAGGCGCGGTCAGCGCCCGGTCTACCGCGCGGGGTGGGCGGGGGGTCGTTCCTCTTCGCAGTCCGCGTAGGGAGATCGAGGCGCGGGGACTGCAGGTGTCCTGGGCTGGGGGCCCAGGCGTCATTGCACGCAGTCCCCCGAGATGGAGCCGACATCGGGTGCGACCCCCGGTGTCGGCAGAGGGGAGTCCTTTCGACTCCCCTCCGAGACGGGCGCTTCGGCGCGAGGCGGGGGAGGCTCCGGAGAAATATCACTCAGGTCCCGGAGCCTCTCCACAACGCCCGAGGAGGTCGCCGTGGGGTTTTAGCCGGTAGAAATCCGGCACTACCCCGTCACCTCCCCCCAGGGGGGGCGGGGCGTCTTGTCGAAGATTTCCCCACGATAAAAAAAAAAAAAAAAAAAAAAAGGGTTAGGTTAGGTTCCACGGACCTGGCCAAGTGTACTGGCTGGGCGGGGAGGTGATACCCCGACGTGGCGCGTCCCCAGGTGGCGGATAGGGGAATGCTCGCCATGCACTTTTCGGAGTGCATGGAGGGTAGGAGTGAAATAAAATAGCTCCCGCGGACCAAACACCAAGGGAAGGAAAAAACCCATCAAAAACCTCCCCTGTGACTGGGGGATAGAATACAGGCACGGTAACCCCTGCCTGTCGTAGGAGGCGACTAAAAGGGGGGCGCTTGCTGCTGTCGGAGTAGCCTCGCAGATGACCCGGGGCGATGCCGGTGGGATCTTCGGATCCTGGCAGGGCCTCCCTTGCCGGCAAGGCCTGGGTCGGAGAGGCGAAAAGGTGGCGGCTGCGTCGTTGAGTTCTCCAGGGGCCAGGCTGCGTGGCGGTCTGGTGCGGGTAGCGAACCCGGAGTGCCCTAGCAATTATACCGTAAACCAGTGGTCATGTTTCGCTGGGACGGGGGGCTTGCCTTAATCGGCCGGCCCGTGAGGATGATAACCTCTATAAAAATCCCTAGCCCCAAGCTGCGGTACGCGGTGAGGAGGGTGCCCCTGGAGTTAGCGCCAGGGGTGGCTGGTGGGTGCATCAGTCGCTAGCGACCAACCCCGGGGTACCTGGCGACCCCCCGGGTGTATCAGCCTTGCCCGGGTAAGGCGGCTCTGCCCGGGTGGACGTGCCGGACCGACCCACTCGTGGGACTCGATATGGATGATCAAAAACAAAACATTGGACGGGATGGAACGACGACGAACCAGGCAACACCTAGGACAACGCAAGGGACAACGAGGGATGCGGAGGCGGAGCAGTCGGGGCCCAGCAGGCCCCCGGCTCCCGCCCGAAGTAGGAGGGCGCGACCTTGGTCGGCAGGATCCTCCAGAGGGAGCAGGGCATCCTCTGCTGCCTCTGATAGGGGGCTCTGGCGCCGGGTGGGGGACAGCGACGAGGAGTCTGAGGGATCGGTCTTCTCGTTGTCGCCCATGACCCCCTCCACAGTGACGGCGGCGAGAAGAGGACGCCCCCCTACATCAGGGGACTATGTAAAGCTCGCAGAGAAGAAGGCTGAGTATCTGCAGCTACAAGAGCGGGAATTGGAGCTCCAGGTAACGCGGGAGCTGTTGGACGACGGCGTGGCACCCCGCCAGCCAAGCCGGTCTTCCAAGAAATTAAGGGAAGCCGAGGAGCTATCGAGGGAGATACGGCATCAACCCTCATCGGACCTCGTTGCCCGCGCATTGAAGTGCGCCGAAAAGGTAGAAAAGGTGGCGGGGTGCTCGAAGAATTTGAAGGGCACCTTCGTGCACGCCCTCAGGGAGGCATCTCGGGACCTCGAGGTCGTCGTGGGCGAGCTGGGCCTCAGGGCCCAATGCGAGCGCGACGACCGCGAGGTGGAGCTCCTGAGAGAGCAGCTGAAGGCCCGGGATGCCAGGATCGCGGCCCAGGGCGAGGAATTGGCTGCCATGCGCCGGGAGCTGGAAGCCCTGAGCGCGAGGATCGTCGCCGTGGAGACCCCAGCGGTCCCCGGCACAAGGAAGGCGGCGAGGCCGGCGTCACCGCTGACGGAGGAGGAGGCCGCTCCGAAGAGGACCCGCAGAGCACACACGCCCGAGGGGATTGGGATGACCTTCCGGACGCGACCATCGCTGGAGGAACCGACGGGGCCTACACCGGCGCGCCCGCCGTCGCCCCTCGGGGAGGCCGGCGGGCGGGTTGGGGGTGGCCCTGTCGAGCGCGCGGACCCCGCGGTGCCCGCGAGGGCCGGGGCACCGGAGACGGCTGCGCTCATGGAGGGCATCGCGGCGCTCGTCGCGCGGAGCGCAGCTGAGCTCAGGAGGGAGTTCGCTGGGGAGCTAGCCCGGCTCCGGACCCCCGCGGGCGCCGCCGGGGTTCCCCCTCCCTCCGCTCCCGCGACAGCTGGGAGGAAGGGAAAACAACCGACGAGGCCGACGAAGGGGGCAGCCCAGCCCCAGAAGACGAGGTTGGAGTCGGCGGGGGCAGCAGCGTCTGCCCGACCCGCGGCTCCCTCCGGTTCCTTCGTCGAACAACGGATGGCCCAAGTCCAACGGGACCACCGAGCGGCCACTGAGGAATGGGCCAAGGTCGTCGGCCGCAAGGCCAAAAAGGCCGAAGTGGTGAAGAGGAAGGAGGGGGTTACGGCCCCCCCTCAAACCACGGCAAAGAAACCGCCAACGAAGAAGATGGCGGCCGGGACGACCAATCCACCGGCCGGGAGGAAGGAGGGGTCATCGGGGGAGAAGGGAGCCAGGAATGTGGCGAAAAAGCCCCGCCTGGCCCGCCCTCCCAGGACGTCTGCGGTCACCCTGACGGTCGCGTCGGGATCAAAGACCTCCTGCAGCGAGGCCATGCTTCGCGCCAGGCAGGAGGTCGACCTCGCGGAGATCGGGATCACCGATCTCCGACCTAGGCGCGCGGCCACGGGTGGCCTCGTCTTGGAGATCGCCGGGACAGAGAGGGCGGCCAAGGCGGCGGCCCTGGCTAGCCGCCTCCAAGCCGTGTTCAGCGGTGTGGAGGGGGTTAAGGTGGCGTGTCCCGTCAAGACGGGGGAGGTCCGCATCTGCGGGCTTGACGACTCCGTCACCCGCGATGAGGTGGCGGCCGCGGTAGCAACCGCCGGCGGTTGCGCCGCCGCAGAAGTGAGGTTAGGGGAGATCCGCACCCCGCCCCGCGGTTTGGGGAGGGTGTGGGTAAGATGCCCCCTTGTCGCGGCCAATAAGCTGGTCGGCGCGGGGAGGCTGAGGGTGGGGTGGTCCTCACCACGGGTCGAGGCGCTGGCGGCTCGCCCCCTGCAGTGTTACCGCTGCCTGGAGACGGGTCATGTCAGGCAGCGGTGCCCCTGCGGGGTCGATCGGTCGGATCGCTGCTTTAATTGCGGCGATCCTAACCATCGGGCCAGCGCCTGCACGGCCCCTCCGCGGTGCCCCCTGTGTACTGATTCAGGGCGGCCCGCGGGGCACAGGATGGGGGCCAGGGGATGCCCCTCGGTCTCCTCCAACAAAGGGGGGAAGAAGCGCGCGGCGGTGAAGGCGCCGACGGCGAGGACGGGCACGAAGCAGTCGGCTGCTTCGTCGACTGGGGCAGCGGGCCCCAGCAACGAGGGAGCAGCGGTGGAGGCCGCAGGAATGGACACCTCCAATGGGGCCTAGGGGTCCATTCCTGCAGGCAAATGTCAACCACTCGGTCGGGGCACAGGACCTTCTGGTCCAAACCCTGGCCGAGTGGAAGATCGAGGTCGCGGTGGTGGCGGAGCCGCACCGAGTCCCGGACCGGCATGACTGGTTCGCGGACGAGGGGGGCTCCGTCGCCATCGTCCTGGGAGGGACGCGGTTTCCCCCGCCCGCCGACGTACTGGTGAGGGGGCGGGGGTTCGTCGGGGTCGACTGGGGGGGCGTCGCGGTGGTGGGCGTTTACGCACCGCCTAGCTGGACCCGCCTCGAGTTCGAGGAGTGCCTAGACCGGGTGGGGAGCTTCATCTCCAGCTTCCCCGCCCGGCAGGCACTGGTCCTCGGGGACTTTAACTCCAAAGCCGAAGCCTGGGGGTCCCCGAGGACCGACGTGAGGGGCAGGGCGGTGCTCGATTGGGCGGCAAGCGTGGGGCTCCTGCTTCTGAACAGGGGCTCCGCCAGCACCTGCGTTCGGGCCCAGGGGGAGTCCATTGTGGATTTAAGTTGGGCGTCCCCTGGGATCGGGCGCAGGGTGCGGGGTTGGAGAGTGGCGATGAGGGAGACGTTGAGTGACCACCGGTATATCCGGTTCAGCGTCTCTCTCCCCACCTCCTGCCGCCCGACGCGTGGCGCACCACCGCGTCGCTGGGTGCTGAGGCGGATGGACAAGGACCTGCTGATGGCAGCGGCCCTCGTCGTGGCCTGGCCACCTCTTCCGGCCGGGCCTGTCGCGGACATTGAGGGGGAGGCTGAGTGGTTCCGGGGGGCGATGACCGCAATTTGCGACACCGCCATGCCCCGGGCCTCTCGTCTGCCCCCCCGGAGGGCGGTGTACTGGTGGTCGGGCGACATTGAGGACATTCGGTCCGAATGTCAGCACGCCCGGCGCCAGTGGCAGCGCGCCCGAAGGGTACGGGTCCGCGACCCGGCGAGGGAGGAATTGCTGAGGGGCACGTACCGGGTCTTCGTAGCGGCCCTGAGGCAGGCCATCAGGGACGCGAAGTCCCGGGCACGGAAGGAGCTCCAGGGCTCTCTCGACAAGGATCCCTGGGGGCGTCCGTACCGCATGGTGATGGGCAAGCTTCGCCCATGGGCGCCCCCGGTGTCGGAGAGCCTGGACCCCCAATTGCTCGGGCGGGTGGTGGACACCCTCTTTCCCCGATCGGAGGAGGAGCCACGCCCGCGCGAGCAGCCGGCGGAGCCAGTCGCCTGGTCCGCCGACTTGGAGGTCACCGAGGGGGAACTCGCCGGGGCCATCAAGAAGCTCGGGGCGAAAAACACCGCTCCGGGCCCTGATGGTATACCCGGCCGTGCCTGGGTCATCGCGTCGGGGGTCCTGGGTCCGAGGTTGATCCGCCTCTTTAGCGCCGCGTTGGAACGGGGAGTTTTTCCCGCGTTGTGGAAGGAGGGGCGGCTGGTTCTGCTTCGCAAAGAAGGTCGGCCCGCGGACTCCCCCTCCGCGTACCGGCCCATCGTGCTGTTGGACGAGGTGGGCAAGCTCTTCGAGCATATTATTGCCGAACGCCTCGCCCACCACCTGTCGAGCGTGGGTCCCGATCTGGCCGACACCCAGTTCGGGTTTCGCGAGGGTCGCAGCACCATCGACGCCATTCAGCGGGTGCGCACCCTCGCGGAGTGGGCCACGTCCCGGGGGGGGGTGGCGCTTGGCGTGTCGTTGGATGTGACCAATGCGTTCAACACCCTGCCCCATGGGGCGATACGGGGGGCGTTGGTTCGTCACAACGTCCCCCCGTATCTGCGGGGGATAATCGGGGCCTTCCTGGATGGCAGGTGGATTTGCTACGTGGGCCGGGACGGTACAGTGCATTGGAGGGAAGTGGACCGCGGGGTGCCCCAGGGTTCCAAAATGGGTCCTCCCCTATGGAACCTGGGATACAACCCGACCCAGGAGGTGGATCTCCCGCCCGGGGTGTGGTCAACTATCTTCGCAGATGATTATTTCATTCTGGCCACCGGGCGGGACTGGGAGCGGACCAGCCGCCGTGCCGAGGATGCGGTGGCACGCGTCCATGACGCGATCCGGGAGTTGGGTCTGGAGCTGGCTCCCCACAAGACCGAGGCTATGTGGTTCTTCGAGCCTCGACGTGGGGTAGCCCCTCCGACCGGGCTCTGGCTCGGGGTAGGAGGGTGCCGGATCGAGATCGGCCGAGGTCTCCGATACCTCGGTCTGTATCTCGATAGCCACTGGCGGTTCGATACGCACTTCGACCGTCTGGCTCCCCGATTGGATAGGGTGGCGGCCGCTCTTGGCCGCCTTTTACCCAACCTCGGGGGGCCGGGTGTGAGGGTTCGCCGCCTCTACGCGGGAATCGTCCGGTCCGTAGCCCTGTACGGGGCACCGATATGGGCCGGCGATCTGGCGGCGAGCAGGCGCAGCTGCAATGTTTTGCAGCAGATGGAGCGCCGGCTCGCCGTCAGGGTCGTGCGGGGATACCGCACGATTTCCTACGCGGCGGCGATGGTCCTGGCGGGTTTCGTACCTTTCCGGTACCTGGCGGAGGTCGAGGCCAGTACCTACTGGTACTCGAGAGCCCTCCGTCAGGCCGGGGAGGACCCGCCGGGGCCTACGGTCGAGGAGTATCGGGGCCGGGCCCGACTGGTCGCGGTGGAAAGGTGGCGCATCTCCCTTCAGGGGGTGGCCGCCGGAAACCGCACCGTCGGGGCGGTCCTGCCGGTGCTGTCAGAGTGGCGGGATCGCGGCTTTGGCGCCCTGACATTCCGGGCCACACAGGTGCTCTCCGGACATGGGTGTTTCGGGGAGTACCTGTGCCGGATCGGGAGGGAGCCAACACCGAAGTGTTGGCACTGCGGGGCGGGGCGGGACACCGCACAGCACACCCTCGAGGTGTGCCCTGTGTTTGAGTTGGCCCGCCACGCCCTGCGTGTGGAGGTGGGGCAAGACCTCTCGCCGGCGAGCGTCGTAAGACAGATGCTCGCCGGCGAGACGAGGTGGAGGGCGGTGATCTCCTATTGCGAGGAGGTCATCGCCCTGAAGGAGAGGGCCGAGCGGGATCGCGAAAGGAGCGATCCCGCTCGGAGAAGAGGCCGGCGCCAACCGCGGCGCCGGCGGGACCCGCCGCCCTAAGGGATCCGGGGGGGTTGACGGCGCCGATCGCCGTTGCCCCCCCGGCGCGACGGATGCGGGTAGGGGACTGGTGAAGGGGGGGGTGGGAGGGGTCGTGGTGACCCTCCCGCCCTGGACGAAACGAGCCCGGACCCCGGTCGGACCTGGGGGCGGGCGGGGAGGGAACCCGTTACCAATCGGGGGCCCTCTCCGCCTGTCTCTGGGGGGCCGGGTGACTCCGGGCGGAGAGTGGGGTGTCCCTCCCACAAAGGGAGTTGCCGCCCTCCCACACTGTGGGGGAGGGACGAAGTGAAGCCGAGGAGTCCCTCTGTAGGGTGGCTGACCACAGCCCACCGCAGCCCTCAGGGGGACGACTCGGCGGGCCGCAGGCGCCCCGCTGGGGCGTCATTGCACGCGGACCCGTGGTGAAGCCGGCACCGGAAGCTGGCGAGGCGCGGTCAGCGCCCGGTCTACCGCGCGGGGTGGGCGGGGGGTCGTTCCTCGTTCCTCTTCGCAGTCCGCGTAGGGAGATCGAGGCGCGGGGACTGCAGGTGTCCTGGGCTGGGGGCCCAGGCGTCATTGCACGCAGTCCCCCGAGATGGAGCCGACATCGGGTGCGACCCCCGGCGTCGGCAGAGGGGAGTCCTTTCGACTCCCCTCCGAGACGGGCGCTTCGGCGCGAGGCGGGGGAGGCTCCGGAGAAATATCACTCAGGTCCCGGAGCCTCTCCACAACGCCCGAGGAGGTCGCCGTGGGGTTTTAGCCGGTAGAAATCCGGCACTACCCCGTCACCTCCCCCCAGGGGGGGCGGGGCGTCTTGTCGAAGATTTCCCCACGATAAAAAAAAAAAAAAAAAAAAAAGGGTTAGGTTTGTAAAGCTCGCAGAGAAGAAGGCTGAGTATCTGCAGCTACAAGAGCGGGAATTGGAGCTCCAGGTAACGCGGGAGCTGTTGGACGACGGCGTGGCACCCCGCCAGCCAAGCCGGTCTTCCAAGAAATTAAGGGAAGCCGAGGAGCTATCGAGGGAGATACGGCATCAACCCTCATCGGACCTCGTTGCCCGCGCATTGAAGTGCGCCGAAAAGGTAGAAAAGGTGGCGGGGTGCTCGAAGAATTTGAAGGGCACCTTCGTGCACGCCCTCAGGGAGGCATCTCGGGACCTCGAGGTCGTCGTGGGCGAGCTGGGCCTCAGGGCCCAATGCGAGCGCGACGACCGCGAGGTGGAGCTCCTGAGAGAGCAGCTGAAGGCCCGGGATGCCAGGATCGCGGCCCAGGGCGAGGAATTGGCTGCCATGCGCCGGGAGCTGGAAGCCCTGAGCGCGAGGATCGTCGCCGTGGAGACCCCAGCGGTCCCCGGCACAAGGAAGGCGGCGAGGCCGGCGTCACCGCTGACGGAGGAGGAGGCCGCTCCGAAGAGGACCCGCAGAGCACACACGCCCGAGGGGATTGGGATGACCTTCCGGACGCGACCATCGCTGGAGGAACCGACGGGGCCTACACCGGCGCGCCCGCCGTCGCCCCTCGGGGAGGCCGGCGGGCGGGTTGGGGGTGGCCCTGTCGAGCGCGCGGACCCCGCGGTGCCCGCGAGGGCCGGGGCACCGGAGACGGCTGCGCTCATGGAGGGCATCGCGGCGCTCGTCGCGCGGAGCGCAGCTGAGCTCAGGAGGGAGTTCGCTGGGGAGCTAGCCCGGCTCCGGACCCCCGCGGGCGCCGCCGGGGTTCCCCCTCCCTCCGCTCCCGCGACAGCTGGGAGGAAGGGAAAACAACCGACGAGGCCGACGAAGGGGGCAGCCCAGCCCCAGAAGACGAGGTTGGAGTCGGCGGGGGCAGCAGCGTCTGCCCGACCCGCGGCTCCCTCCGGTTCCTTCGTCGAACAACGGATGGCCCAAGTCCAACGGGACCACCGAGCGGCCACTGAGGAATGGGCCAAGGTCGTCGGCCGCAAGGCCAAAAAGGCCGAAGTGGTGAAGAGGAAGGAGGGGGTTACGGCCCCCCCTCAAACCACGGCAAAGAAACCGCCAACGAAGAAGATGGCGGCCGGGACGACCAATCCACCGGCCGGGAGGAAGGAGGGGTCATCGGGGGAGAAGGGAGCCAGGAATGTGGCGAAAAAGCCCCGCCTGGCCCGCCCTCCCAGGACGTCTGCGGTCACCCTGACGGTCGCGTCGGGATCAAAGACCTCCTGCAGCGAGGCCATGCTTCGCGCCAGGCAGGAGGTCGACCTCGCGGAGATCGGGATCACCGATCTCCGACCTAGGCGCGCGGCCACGGGTGGCCTCGTCTTGGAGATCGCCGGGACAGAGAGGGCGGCCAAGGCGGCGGCCCTGGCTAGCCGCCTCCAAGCCGTGTTCAGCGGTGTGGAGGGGGTTAAGGTGGCGTGTCCCGTCAAGACGGGGGAGGTCCGCATCTGCGGGCTTGACGACTCCGTCACCCGCGATGAGGTGGCGGCCGCGGTAGCAACCGCCGGCGGTTGCGCCGCCGCAGAAGTGAGGTTAGGGGAGATCCGCACCCCGCCCCGCGGTTTGGGGAGGGTGTGGGTAAGATGCCCCCTTGTCGCGGCCAATAAGCTGGTCGGCGCGGGGAGGCTGAGGGTGGGGTGGTCCTCACCACGGGTCGAGGCGCTGGCGGCTCGCCCCCTGCAGTGTTACCGCTGCCTGGAGACGGGTCATGTCAGGCAGCGGTGCCCCTGCGGGGTCGATCGGTCGGATCGCTGCTTTAATTGCGGCGATCCTAACCATCGGGCCAGCGCCTGCACGGCCCCTCCGCGGTGCCCCCTGTGTACTGATTCAGGGCGGCCCGCGGGGCACAGGATGGGGGCCAGGGGATGCCCCTCGGTCTCCTCCAACAAAGGGGGGAAGAAGCGCGCGGCGGTGAAGGCGCCGACGGCGAGGACGGGCACGAAGCAGTCGGCTGCTTCGTCGACTGGGGCAGCGGGCCCCAGCAACGAGGGAGCAGCGGTGGAGGCCGCAGGAATGGACACCTCCAATGGGGCCTAGGGGTCCATTCCTGCAGGCAAATGTCAACCACTCGGTCGGGGCACAGGACCTTCTGGTCCAAACCCTGGCCGAGTGGAAGATCGAGGTCGCGGTGGTGGCGGAGCCGCACCGAGTCCCGGACCGGCATGACTGGTTCGCGGACGAGGGGGGCTCCGTCGCCATCGTCCTGGGAGGGACGCGGTTTCCCCCGCCCGCCGACGTACTGGTGAGGGGGCGGGGGTTCGTCGGGGTCGACTGGGGGGGCGTCGCGGTGGTGGGCGTTTACGCACCGCCTAGCTGGACCCGCCTCGAGTTCGAGGAGTGCCTAGACCGGGTGGGGAGCTTCATCTCCAGCTTCCCCGCCCGGCAGGCACTGGTCCTCGGGGACTTTAACTCCAAAGCCGAAGCCTGGGGGTCCCCGAGGACCGACGTGAGGGGCAGGGCGGTGCTCGATTGGGCGGCAAGCGTGGGGCTCCTGCTTCTGAACAGGGGCTCCGCCAGCACCTGCGTTCGGGCCCAGGGGGAGTCCATTGTGGATTTAAGTTGGGCGTCCCCTGGGATCGGGCGCAGGGTGCGGGGTTGGAGAGTGGCGATGAGGGAGACGTTGAGTGACCACCGGTATATCCGGTTCAGCGTCTCTCTCCCCACCTCCTGCCGCCCGACGCGTGGCGCACCACCGCGTCGCTGGGTGCTGAGGCGGATGGACAAGGACCTGCTGATGGCAGCGGCCCTCGTCGTGGCCTGGCCACCTCTTCCGGCCGGGCCTGTCGCGGACATTGAGGGGGAGGCTGAGTGGTTCCGGGGGGCGATGACCGCAATTTGCGACACCGCCATGCCCCGGGCCTCTCGTCTGCCCCCCCGGAGGGCGGTGTACTGGTGGTCGGGCGACATTGAGGACATTCGGTCCGAATGTCAGCACGCCCGGCGCCAGTGGCAGCGCGCCCGAAGGGTACGGGTCCGCGACCCGGCGAGGGAGGAATTGCTGAGGGGCACGTACCGGGTCTTCGTAGCGGCCCTGAGGCAGGCCATCAGGGACGCGAAGTCCCGGGCACGGAAGGAGCTCCAGGGCTCTCTCGACAAGGATCCCTGGGGGCGTCCGTACCGCATGGTGATGGGCAAGCTTCGCCCATGGGCGCCCCCGGTGTCGGAGAGCCTGGACCCCCAATTGCTCGGGCGGGTGGTGGACACCCTCTTTCCCCGATCGGAGGAGGAGCCACGCCCGCGCGAGCAGCCGGCGGAGCCAGTCGCCTGGTCCGCCGACTTGGAGGTCACCGAGGGGGAACTCGCCGGGGCCATCAAGAAGCTCGGGGCGAAAAACACCGCTCCGGGCCCTGATGGTATACCCGGCCGTGCCTGGGTCATCGCGTCGGGGGTCCTGGGTCCGAGGTTGATCCGCCTCTTTAGCGCCGCGTTGGAACGGGGAGTTTTTCCCGCGTTGTGGAAGGAGGGGCGGCTGGTTCTGCTTCGCAAAGAAGGTCGGCCCGCGGACTCCCCCTCCGCGTACCGGCCCATCGTGCTGTTGGACGAGGTGGGCAAGCTCTTCGAGCATATTATTGCCGAACGCCTCGCCCACCACCTGTCGAGCGTGGGTCCCGATCTGGCCGACACCCAGTTCGGGTTTCGCGAGGGTCGCAGCACCATCGACGCCATTCAGCGGGTGCGCACCCTCGCGGAGTGGGCCACGTCCCGGGGGGGGGTGGCGCTTGGCGTGTCGTTGGATGTGACCAATGCGTTCAACACCCTGCCCCATGGGGCGATACGGGGGGCGTTGGTTCGTCACAACGTCCCCCCGTATCTGCGGGGGATAATCGGGGCCTTCCTGGATGGCAGGTGGATTTGCTACGTGGGCCGGGACGGTACAGTGCATTGGAGGGAAGTGGACCGCGGGGTGCCCCAGGGTTCCAAAATGGGTCCTCCCCTATGGAACCTGGGATACAACCCGACCCAGGAGGTGGATCTCCCGCCCGGGGTGTGGTCAACTATCTTCGCAGATGATTATTTCATTCTGGCCACCGGGCGGGACTGGGAGCGGACCAGCCGCCGTGCCGAGGATGCGGTGGCACGCGTCCATGACGCGATCCGGGAGTTGGGTCTGGAGCTGGCTCCCCACAAGACCGAGGCTATGTGGTTCTTCGAGCCTCGACGTGGGGTAGCCCCTCCGACCGGGCTCTGGCTCGGGGTAGGAGGGTGCCGGATCGAGATCGGCCGAGGTCTCCGATACCTCGGTCTGTATCTCGATAGCCACTGGCGGTTCGATACGCACTTCGACCGTCTGGCTCCCCGATTGGATAGGGTGGCGGCCGCTCTTGGCCGCCTTTTACCCAACCTCGGGGGGCCGGGTGTGAGGGTTCGCCGCCTCTACGCGGGAATCGTCCGGTCCGTAGCCCTGTACGGGGCACCGATATGGGCCGGCGATCTGGCGGCGAGCAGGCGCAGCTGCAATGTTTTGCAGCAGATGGAGCGCCGGCTCGCCGTCAGGGTCGTGCGGGGATACCGCACGATTTCCTACGCGGCGGCGATGGTCCTGGCGGGTTTCGTACCTTTCCGGTACCTGGCGGAGGTCGAGGCCAGTACCTACTGGTACTCGAGAGCCCTCCGTCAGGCCGGGGAGGACCCGCCGGGGCCTACGGTCGAGGAGTATCGGGGCCGGGCCCGACTGGTCGCGGTGGAAAGGTGGCGCATCTCCCTTCAGGGGGTGGCCGCCGGAAACCGCACCGTCGGGGCGGTCCTGCCGGTGCTGTCAGAGTGGCGGGATCGCGGCTTTGGCGCCCTGACATTCCGGGCCACACAGGTGCTCTCCGGACATGGGTGTTTCGGGGAGTACCTGTGCCGGATCGGGAGGGAGCCAACACCGAAGTGTTGGCACTGCGGGGCGGGGCGGGACACCGCACAGCACACCCTCGAGGTGTGCCCTGTGTTTGAGTTGGCCCGCCACGCCCTGCGTGTGGAGGTGGGGCAAGACCTCTCGCCGGCGAGCGTCGTAAGACAGATGCTCGCCGGCGAGACGAGGTGGAGGGCGGTGATCTCCTATTGCGAGGAGGTCATCGCCCTGAAGGAGAGGGCCGAGCGGGATCGCGAAAGGAGCGATCCCGCTCGGAGAAGAGGCCGGCGCCAACCGCGGCGCCGGCGGGACCCGCCGCCCTAAGGGATCCGGGGGGGTTGACGGCGCCGATCGCCGTTGCCCCCCCGGCGCGACGGATGCGGGTAGGGGACTGGTGAAGGGGGGGGTGGGAGGGGTCGTGGTGACCCTCCCGCCCTGGACGAAAAGAGCCCGGACCCCGGTCGGACCTGGGGGCGGGCGGGGAGGGAACCCGTTACCAATCGGGGGCCCTCTCCGCCTGTCTCTGGGGGGCCGGGTGACTCCGGGCGGAGAGTGGGGTGTCCCTCCCACAAAGGGAGTTGCCGCCCTCCCACACTGTGGGGGAGGGACGAAGTGAAGCCGAGGAGTCCCTCTGTAGGGTGGCTGACCACAGCCCACCGCAGCCCTCAGGGGGACGACTCGGCGGGCCGCAGGCGCCCCGCTGGGGCGTAATTGCACGCGGACCCGTGGTGAAGCCGGCACCGGAAGCTGGCGAGGCGCGGTCAGCGCCCGGTCTACCGCGCGGGGTGGGCGGGGGGTCGTTCCTCTTCGCAGTCCGCGTAGGGAGATCGAGGCGCGGGGACTGCAGGTGTCCTGGGCTGGGGGCCCAGGCGTCATTGCACGCAGTCCCCCGAGATGGAGCCGACATCGGGTGCGACCCCCGGTGTCGGCAGAGGGGAGTCCTTTCGACTCCCCTCCGAGACGGGCGCTTCGGCGCGAGGCAGGGGAGGCTCCGGAGAAATATCACTCAGGTCCCGGAGCCTCTCCACAACGCCCGAGGAGGTCGCCGTGGGGTTTTAGCCGGTAGAAATCCGGCACTACCCCGTCACCTCCCCCCAGGGGGGGCGGGGCGTCTTGTCGAAGATTTCCCCACGATAAAAAAAAAAAAAAAAAAAAAAGGGTTAGGTGCGGGTGTCGTGCCTTTTAAGCACGAGGCGGAGGCCGGCGCCACGTTGTATTGGCGCTTGCGCGGCCACCGCCAGACGGGCGAGGCACCGCCAGAGCCGACGGTCGAGCAGGAGTGGAGGCACCAGGCCCGGCAAAATGCCCTGGACCGGTGGCGCCGCGAGCTCATCCAGAGCGGCGCAGCCGGCCAGCGAGCGGTCGGGGCGGTCCTGCCGGTTATCAACGAATGGCGGGACCGCGGCTTCGGAAGGGTCACCTACCGGACCACGCAGGTACTCACCGGGCACGGCTGCTTCGGTGACTACCTGTGCCGGATAGGTCGCGAGGCGACGCCGATATGCCACCACTGCGGGGCGGAGCGGGACTCCGCGCAGCACACACTGCAGCATTGCCCAGTGTTTGCGCGGGCCCGTCACGCCCTGGAGTGCGAGGTGGGCCCTGATCTCTCGCCGGAGGCTGTAGTGAGAGCCATGCTTTCCGGCGAGGATCAGTGGCGGGCGGTGACCTCATTCTGTGAGGAGGTCATCGCCCTTAAGGAGGAAGCGGAGCGGGGTCGGGAGAGAGCTGACCCCGCCCGCAGGAGGACGCGCCGTCGGGGTAGGCCTCCCGACGGCGCCAACAGCAGATGAGGCGGACGGGGCGGTGGGCCGTGAAGCTATTACATACCAGGCCCACCGCCCCCACCGATAGAAGAGGATGGGGGAGCATCGGCTCCCCCGAAGAGGACTAGAAGAGGAGGAGAGGGGGAGAGGGATTTGCCCTCTCCCCATCAAAGGATATGGCGGCCCCGCAAGCATGGTGCGGGGCCGCCGGGGCTGGGGCCCCGGTCGTCATCGCACGCGGCCCGAGGAGTAGCCGGCGTCGGGTGTGACCCCCGACGTCGGCGGAGTTGGCACGTATGGGGGAGGGTCAAAGGTTAGACCCTCCCCCGAGATGGGGCGCAGTCGCGCCAAGGGCGGGGGGGTCCCGGAGTGTTCGTAAGAGGTCCCGGGGCCCTCCCTGCAGCCCAGTGCAGGTCACCGTGGAGGTTTTAGTGGGTAGAAATCCCACACTACCTCCTGCCCCTCCCCAGGGGGGCGGGAGGTGTCTTCGGAAGATTTCCTCCACGTATAAAAAAAAAAAAAAAAAAAAAAAGGTTAGGGTTAGGTCCGGCGAGCGTCGTAAGACAGATGCTCGCCGGCGAGACGAGGTGGAGGGCGGTGATCTCCTATTGCGAGGAGGTCATCGCCCTGAAGGAGAGGGCCGAGCGGGATCGCGAAAGGAGCGATCCCGCTCGGAGAAGAGGCCGGCGCCAACCGCGGCGCCGGCGGGACCCGCCGCCCTAAGGGATCCGGGGGGGTTGACGGCGCCGATCGCCGTTGCCCCCCCGGCGCGACGGATGCGGGTAGGGGACTGGTGAGGGGGGGGGGGAGGGGTCGTGGTGACCCTCCCGCCCTGGACGAAAAGAGCCCGGACCCCGGTCGGACCTGGGGGCGGGCGGGGAGGGAACCCGTTACCAATCGGGGGCCCTCTCAGCCTGTCTCTGGGGGGCCGGGTGACTCCGGGCGGAGAGTGGGGTGTCCCTCCCACAAAGGGAGTTGCCGCCCTCCCACACTGTGGGGGAGGGACGAAGTGAAGCCGAGGAGTCCCTCTGTAGGGTGGCTGACCACAGCCCACCGCAGCCCTCAGGGGGACGACTCGGCGGGCCGCAGGCGCCCCGCTGGGGCGTAATTGCACGCGGACCCGTGGTGAAGCCGGCACCGGAAGCTGGCGAGGCGCGGTCAGCGCCCGGTCTACCGCGCGGGGTGGGCGGGGGGTCGTTCCTCTTCGCAGTCCGCGTAGGGAGATCGAGGCGCGGGGACTGCAGGTGTCCTGGGCTGGGGGCCCAGGCGTCATTGCACGCAGTCCCCCGAGATGGAGCCGACATCGGGTGCGACCCCCGGTGTCGGCAGAGGGGAGTCCTTTCCACTCCCCTCCGAGACGGGCGCTTCGGCGCGAGGCGGGGGAGGCTCCGGAGAAATATCACTCAGGTCCCGGAGCCTCTCCACAACGCCCGAGGAGGTCGCCGTGGGGTTTTAGCCGGTAGAAATCCGGCACTACCCCGTCACCTCCCCCCAGGGGGGGCGGGGCGTCTTGTCGAAGATTTCCCCACGATAAAAAAAAAAAAAAAAAAAAAAAAGGGTTAGGTTAGGTTAGGTTAGGGTTAGGGTTAGGTTAGGGTTAGGTTAGGGTTAGGTTAGGTTAGGGTTAGGTTAGGTTAGGTTAGGTTAGGTTCCACGGACCTGGCCAAGTGTACTGGCTGGGCGGGGAGGTGATACCCCGACGTGGCGCGTCCCCAGGTGGCGGATAGGGGAATGCTCGCCATGCACTTTTCGGAGTGCATGGAGGGTAGGAGTGAAATAAAATAGCTCCCGCGGACCAAACACCAAGGGAAGGAAAAACCCATCAAAAACCTCCCCTGTGACTGGGGGATAGAATACAGGCACGGTAACCCCTGCCTGTCGTAGGAGGCGACTGAAAGGGGGGCGCTTGCTGCTGTCGGAGTAGCCTCGCAGATGACCCGGGGCGATGCCGGTGGGATCTTCGGATCCTGGCAGGGCCTCCCTTGCCGGCAAGGCCTGGGTCGGAGAGGCGAAAAGGTGGCGGCAGCGTCGTTGAGTTCTCCAGGGGCCAGGCTGCGTGGCGGTCTGGTGCGGGTAGCGAACCCGGAGTGCCCTAGCAATTATACCGTAAACCAATGGTCACGTTTCGCTGGAACGGGGGGCTCGTCTTCATTGACCGGCCCGTGAGGATGACAACCTCTATAAAAAATCCCTAGCCCCAAGCTGCGGTGCGCGGTGAGGAGGGTGCCCCTGGAGTTAGCGCCAGGGGTGGCTGATGGGTGCATCAGTCGGTAGCGGCCAACCCCGGGGTACCTGGCGACCCCCCGGGTGTATCAGCCTTACCCGGGTAAGGCGGCTCTGCCCGGGTGGACCCACGGACCGACCCACTCGTGGGACCAAGTATGGATGAAACTCAAAAACAAAAACCAAACGTATACGGACGGGATGAACTGGCGACGGTAACGGCAAGTGCAAGGACTCTGACCATGGACACGGACACAGCGATGGACGTGTATACGAGCACGGAGGGCAACAACAATCTTTTTGTTGCCCCCCGCCCCCAGAGGGCGAGAAGGGGAGGATCCACCTCCCGTGGGAGTAGGTGTTCCTCGGTATCGGGGAGGGGAACTCCTGCCTGCGAAAGCGGGGATGACTCTGATGAGTCTATCGCATCCGCATCCGTCGTCTCGCTCGACAGGCCCACAACCAGGAGGGGAAGACCGCCTACCACCGGCGAGTACGTCGGCCTGGCTAAGGCCAAGGAGCGGCTGGTGGAGGCGAAGCGCAAGGAGTTGGAGCTGCGCGCTGAGGAGCGATCTCTGGACCGCTCCCTTCCGCCCCGCCCTTCAAGCAAGAGCAGCATCCCTCTGCCAGAGCAGGAGGAGCTGGAGAGGGAGCTCCGCTACGAGCCGATGGCCGCGCTGGCGGCCCAGTCCCTAGAACTCACGGACGACGTGGAGAGGGTCGCCTCCATCTCGAAGGGCCTGAAGGGCACGTGCCAAAGGTCCCTTCGAGTAGCCGCCCGGCGCATCAGGGCCATCAACGTCGAGATGGCCAAGAGGGGAGCGCTGGACAACGCAGCGGACGAGGTGGCTGAGCTGAGGCGTCAGCTACGCCTCCGCGACGAGCAGCTGGGGAAGCAGGTTGAGCAGACGCTCAACCTTAGCAGAGAGCTCGCGGAGGTGAAAGCTCGCTTGGGAGCCGTCGAGGCCCCAATCTTTATGGCCCCAGCTCATGCGGAGAGGCCCATTAGATCGGCCTCCCCGTTCTTGGAACGAGTGGGGGCAAACAAGAGGAGCCGGCCTGACGAGGGGGCCCTGTCAGAACCAGTGGCAGGGCCCTCGTGGATGGAGATGGAACCACCCGCCCCAATCAAGAGCGTGCCCAAGATTAGACGGGTGGAGAAGGTAGACCCTGAGGGAGGGGACATAAGGGTGTGCATAGCCGCCCTGATGCAACAGGTCTCCTCTCTCAGGGAGGAATTCATGGGGGTCCTCTCGGCCAAAGGTAGGGAGAACCCGCCCCAAAAGAAGGAGGAGAGGGCTGGAGGGGCTAAGACCGCCCCGAAGCCCAAGCCTGGGGGTGAGCGGCAGGTGAAGGCCACACCCCAGGCTGGAACAAAGGAGTCGCCTCTGGAGGCGAGGATGCGGGACATCCAGAAAGAGACCCGCCTCGCCGCCCAGGGGGAAACATGGGCAACGGTGGTGGGCCGCAAGGCGAAGAGGTCCCAAAAACAGGAGGGGCCACCACCAACAACCGGCGGACCAGCGGCGAAGAGGGGGCAACAGGGAACTAAGGCACCCCCCAAGAAAGCGCCTGCCCCCGCCGCGAAAAAGGCGAAGCCTGCCAGGCCGCCGAAGACAGCGGCCGTCACCCTGACCTTGGCACCAGATGCCAAGGTCACGTATGCAGAGGTGATGGCCACCGCCCGCGAAAAGGTCGATCTGAAGACCATCGGTATAACCGAGATTCGACCACGACGGGCGGTAACAGGCGGCCTGGTCCTGGAGATTCCAGGAGAGGGGCGGACGGATAAGGCGACCGCGTTGGAGGGTTGCCTCCAGGGGGTGTTTCGGGGCACCGAGGTCCGGGTATCTCGCCCAGTCAAAATGGGCGAGGTACGAGTATCCGGTTTGGATGACTCGGTGTCCCCTGCGGATGTTACAGCCGCCCTTGCGGCTGTTGGAGGCTGTACCCCAGCAGAAGTAAAGGTCGGGGAAATTAGGATCTCCCCGGCCAGGCTGGGTACAGTCTGGGCGAAGTGCCCCCTGACGGCGCTCGGCAAGATCGTCGCCTCTGGGAGGATCCTGGTTGGCTGGTCGTCAGCCAGGGTCGAGGCGCTGCCGGCAAGGCCTTTGCAGTGCTTCCGCTGCCTCGAGAAAGGCCACGTGAGGCAGCGATGCACCTGCGAGGTGGACAGGTCCGACCGCTGCTACGTTTGCGGCGAGTCGGGCCATAAGGCCAGCTCGTGCAGCGCCACACCGCGGTGCCCCCTATGCACAGATCTGGGGCGACCCGCGGGGCACCGGTTGGGGGCAAAGTCGTGTGCCCCCAAATCCCAGAGGCAGAAGAAGAAGGGCGCCAAGCAGGGGGAAGTAGCACCCCCCCAACAGGCGCAGCAGCAGCCAGCTGAGGCTGCTGCGCCAAAGAAGAGGAGGGGTGGCAGATCTGCCACCCCAAGGAGAGGTAAAGCCGCGGAGGCGGCAGCCTCTAAAAAGTAATGGGGCCCAAAGGGCCCATACTTCAGAGTAATCTGAACCACTCGGCCAGGGCGCAAGACCTATTATTGCACCACCTGGCCGAGTGGAAAGTAGGATTGGCGGTGGCCGCGGAGCCGTACAGGGTCCCCGATAGACACGACTGGTTCGGGGACGAGGTCGGCTCCGTGGCCGTGATTGGCACCGCGTTTTCCCCGCCCCCAACACTAATGGAACGGGGGCGGGGCTACGTAGCGGTGCAGTGGGGAGAAATAGCGGTGGTGGGCATGTATTGTCCGCCCAGCCTATCCCTCGCGTCATTCGAAGAGTGCCTAGGCCGGGTGGGAGATGTGATCTCCCGTTGCTACCCCCGGCCGGCACTCGTTCTCGGGGATTTTAACTCCCACGCAAAATCGTGGGGGTCCCCGAGGACAGACGCGAGGGGTGAGGCGGTGCTCGACTGGGCGGCGGAAAATGAGCTCCGGTTGCTGAACCGGGGCTCTGTTAGCACCTGCGTACGTGCACAGGGGGAGTCGATAGTCGATCTCTCTTTCGCGACTCCCTCGGCGGTGCGTATGGTGCAGAGTTGGAGGGTGATGGAGGAGGCGGAGTCGCTCAGCGACCACAGATACATCCGCCTCGAATTTCACTCCACCACCAACCGCCGCCCGGCGAGTGGCCCGCCACCGCTGAGATGGGCGCTGAAGAGGCTGGATAGGGACGCGCTGATGGCCGCAGCCCTTGCTGTGACCTGGCCGGAGCAACCGGCCGGGCCGGTCGCGGATATCGGGGAGGAAGTGGAGTGGTTCCGGGGCACGATGAAAGCAATATGCGATGTTGCTATGCCCCGGGCCAAATGCCTCCCCAGACGGGCCGCCTATTGGTGGTCGGGCGAAATCGCCGACATCTGGCGTAACTGTAACGTCGCCCGACGCCAGTGGCAAAGAGCCCGTCGGAGAAGGAACCGCGACCCAGCGAGGGAGGAAACGCTGTACGGGTGCTACAGGGTGCTAGTGGTAACCCTGCAGCAGGCCATCAGAGAGGCCAAATCCCGGGCGTGGCAAGAGCTCCTCGGCTCTCTGGAGAAGGATCCGTGGGGGCGCCCTTACAGATGGGCCATGAGTAAATTAAGGCCCAGGGCGCCGCCCGTGACGGAGAGCCTCGATCCCCAGTTCCTGGGGCAGGTGGTGGACACGTTATTCCCTCGTGACGAGGGCGACCACCCCTGCCCCGCGCCGGTCCAAGTCGAATGGACCGACGAAATGGGGGTCACGGAGGAGGAGCTGGCCGGGGCAATCAAACGTATGGCGGCCCGGAACACCGCTCCGGGCCCAGACGGCATCCCCGGCCGAGCCTGGGTATTGGCCCTGCGCGTCCTTGGACCGCGATTGAGGCGCCTCTTCAGCGCCTGTCTGAAGGAGGGGACATTCCCTAGGGAGTGGAAGGTGGGACGACTGGTCCTGCTGAAGAAGGAAGGACGGCCCGCAGAGAGCCCCTCTGCGTACCGGCCCATTGTTTTGCTGGACGAGGTCGGGAAGCTGTTCGAAGCGGTGATAGCTGACCGCCTCGCCCGGCACCTATCCCTGGTGGGCCCTGATCTGGCCGAGTCGCAGTTTGGCTTTAGACAGGGGCGCAGCACCATCGATGCAATTCACTCGCTGCGCTCCTGTTGCGACTCGGCCACGTCCAGGGGCGGGGTGGGGATGGGCGTTTCACTAGACATAGTGAACGCCTTTAATACCCTGCCCCACGGGACGATAATGGGGGCGCTAAACGATCACGAAGCGCCCCCATACCTGACGAGGATCATAGGGCACTACCTATGGGATAGGTACATTATGTATGTGGGCCGGGACGAACGCATATACACGAGGGGCGTCGAGAGGGGTGTACCCCAGGGGTCCCGTTTGGGACCGCCGCTGTGGATCCTGGGGTACAACAAGACTCTGTGGGTCGCCGTCCCGGACGGGGTAAGTGTGCGGTGTTACTGTGACGACACCCACATCTTTGCCACCGACCGGGACTGGAGCAGGACCAGTCGTCTTATGGAGATAGGTGTGGCTGCCGTCGCAGCGACCATCCGGAGGCTGGGGCTTCAGTTAGCACCCCACAAAACCGAGGCGATGTGGCATTACTCGCCTCGGCGTGGGGTCGCGCCACCGCCCCAGTCTTGGATCCGGGTAGGTGACACAAGAGTCCAGGTGGGCAAGGGCTTCAAGTACTTGGGCCTCCACCTGGACAGCCACTGGTGCTTCGAGGATCATTTCGACCGTCTGGCCCCCCGATTGGAAAGGGCAACAAACGCCCTCGGGCAGATATTGCCCAACATCGGGGGGCCTAGCGAGAAGATTCGCCGCCTCTACACGGGGATCGTGCGGAGTATGGCCCTTTATGGGTCGCCGATATGGGCCCAGGCCCTGATGGCGTCCCGTCGCAGTCAAGCTGTGCTGCGGCGGGTAGAGAGGACGATGGCCATCAGGGTCGTGAGGGGGTACCGCACGGTCTCCCACGCGGCGGCGATGGCTCTGGCGGGTGTCGTGCCTTTTAAGCACGAGGCGGAGGCCGGCGCCACGTTGTAT